GGATCGCAACCCTCAGTGTTGCCCCCGTACCAGACCGGGGACCGGCAACGGGATTGCAAACCTCGGCGTTGCTCCCGCGCCTCGCTCAGCCAGTGAGCGGGAACTGGTCCGTATGTGGGATCCGAACCCTCGGGCGGGAGCGCCGCCGCGTTTCCCAAGCGGCGCACTATCCAGTGCGCCACCGGGCCGGCCCAGGAAATCTTCTTAATCATGCTTAATAGGTCTACATATAAAGAGTAATCATGTCCCAGAATGGATTACAACAGGAACCTTCCCTATACCTACTGTAGATAATGAGACTTAGGCAAGATTTTTGGACTTTGGGTTGATATTGTGATGGAATGCGATTTTGGAGATCTCGGGATGGGTGAATCTGTTTTGCATGTGGGCTGGACATGGCTCATTGGGGGTGAGAATAGACTGTGTTAGGCAGAATAGTGCCCCCTCAAAGACATCCACATTCTAATCCCCAGAACCTATGAATATATTACCTCATGTGACAAAGGAGACTTTTCAGACGTGATTAAGGGTATGAGCTTGAGGTGAAGACATTATCACACAAGTCCCTCAAAGCAGGAAAGGGAAGTAGAAGAATATATCAGAGTGATGAGATGTAGGTCTAAACACACCATTGCTGGCTTTGAAGATGGATGACGGGGGCTAGAAGTCTTCAGAAACTGGGAAAACCAAAAATAGGAGAGGAGATCCTACCCAGAACCTATGGAAAGGAGTGCAGCCCTGACAATGCCTTGATTTTAACACTGTGAAAGTCAGACTTCTGACTTACAGAGCTGTAGGATAACAAATCTGTGTTGCTTCAAGCCACTGCGTTTATGGTAATATGTCACAGCAGCAGAAAACCAACCCAGTATCTAATTCATTATGGTTGTTTTTTCGGAATTAAGTTTGTTATTAAGTATGTTCAAACAATTTGTAACAATGCCTAGTATGTAGAAGGCATTTAATAAATGTTAATATACTTCTCAAAGATGATAGAAAGCTTAAACATAAAGATGCAAATAATTCTGCAACAATATAAAAACCACAATCAATGACCTATATAGAAACTATTTTCAAAGGACTTTTCTAATTAAGCTATTTCTAAGAAAATCGCCTAAAGCAGGGACGGCAAACACAGATGCATATGTGGGCTTTGCAGGCAACATAAATAAGGGAAATAGGTGAGTTAGGGACTGCAGCAGATGGAGGGGTGGCCTCATTTAAGGAGCAGAACCTAGCCTAGCTGATGCCAATGCAAATGAAAGCAGGCCCAGTGTTCTAGATCCTTACCTTCTATGAAATCTCTAGTTTCTGTTTTCATATTTTTTGTTTTGTTTTAAAATCTCCAGTTTTAAAATGTTGAAAATCAATTCACATTTAAACACATACACAGGTTAAACTGATCATGCCTATGAGCCACACTAGTGCCAGAGGCCCTCAGGTTGGTATCTCTGACCAATTAATGAACACATATGAAGCCTGAAAAGGTAAGTTGCTTTCGAATACATTTTTTTTTTAGCCCTCTCCTATTCTTACATCATAAAAGCATCTTTGACAGTGCTCTTGTTAATCTGTGTCAGAAACTATGACTTACATAGTTTTTAATGTTAACCAGAAAGACAACTTCAAATCATGTTCAAATCCAGTTTTATTAAAATTATTTGGCAATTTTGGTAGCAGTACAAAGTCTCTATGACCATGGGACACAGACATGAGTTTATGTTCTGGTTTGTTGTAGGTTTGGGTACACTCATTTTTCTAAATTCTCTGCTCTTCATTTCATTATTAAATGGCAAAGTGCCTTAAGTTTCTTTATTTATTATTCATTGAAAAGGAATTTGTAAAATAAGATCGAAAAAATAAAATCCACAGATTCGAAAAATTATCTTCAAATATTAAGAAAATATAAAGTATTCTAAAGAAACCTACATTTAGTCCTCTAGGTAACAAAGCAGGTATTGGATATCTGTGGTTTCCTGTTTTAGTTAATACTAATACAGTTCAAAGACCAATGTGTTTCCAAAAGCTGTAAAAACTCTAATTGACACTCCCAGTATGTTTTCAATGGAATTAAAGGATAGAACCAGGAGAGCACTTGATTTGGCTTTTAAAATCACATGACTTTTTCTTAAGTGGAATTTTTCTTCCGCAGTAGCTCAGGGCACTATTTGCTTACTTCATGCCTTGTAATTAGCATCTGCCTTATAGTAGATCTAAGTGTATTATTGAACAGGAAATGGTAGGAGGTCTTCCTGTCCAAGGCAAATATTCAGCAGACCTTAAAGTAAAACCTTAGAGGGTTTGTTGCTCTTTAGTTGTTCTCCAGTGAACCTGAAGTTGTCTATAAGAAAGGAAAAAAAGAAAGCTGTGTAAGAATCTTTGCACAAGACATTTCATCTTGTTCTAAGTAGTTCTGCTTTTCCAGCTATGGCCATGGAGCCTTTTTCTTTCATTCCTGCAATAAGAATATCTCTTAGGATTCAGAATGTGGATCTGCCCTAGCTTCTCCCAAAGGCTGTTCTTTCATAAGATTCAAGAGGATTGTTTTCAGTCTGTTTTGATTCACATCTTCTGGATATTCCAATTACTAAATAAAGACCATTCCCCTAAATGAACAATTTATTACACCAGAGGTAGAAGACTGCCATACCATGTTAATGTTGGTTGTCTTGTTATTTTTAGGTAGAAATGCCTGTTCCTCAAGAAGGAACATGTTAGTACAGTCTATTCTCTAACTTGTTTATGATCTAAATAGCATTACAACTCAAAGAAAAAGCAAACCTGGCAATCAAAACAGACAAGTTTCTTTAGATATATCATCAGAATAAGGTCTTAATTTTACAAAGGTTAATTCTGCAACTTATTTGTGTTGTCCCAGCAGATTAGACCTATGAACAGTCATAGCAGTAGCAGTTATATTAAATAATATAATTTTACTCTTAATTCCCAACTAAATGAAAAGAAAACTTCTTTAGGAATGAGCATACATCTTGAAGTTTCTCAATTAAGTAATTCTTTGCGTGAAATGGGGGTTTTAGTTTGTTTTTTACAAATTGAAAGCATGGTCTTCAAAGTTAAAGAAAACAAGATATGTTGGGCTTTTCCCCTGAGTTAAGGTTCATCTCATTCTTCAATTCATGAATATTTAAAACTTAAGATATTCAAATAATATTTAGAACAACAAGAAAAGCAATGCATACAGTGTAATGTTGCCAAACCACAAAGCATTTAAACCTGAGAAAGAGCAATTATACTTACAAATGAGGTCCTGATTCCAAATTTGCTATGGAATGTCATGGTGACTTTGTTTTTATGACCTGTTCTTTGATCAAAGGCATGACATGTATCAAAAGGCGGACTGTACAAGTGAAGACTCACGGCAGGTTCTGTATGGCTGATATTCTCTACTCGATGTAAGCCAATGGAATCTAAACAACATCCAAGAGAGAAGAATAGATAAAGCAACTTAGATGATAGCTGTAGGTAAACATTTTCTTAATCACTTAAGAACGTGAATCAATTTTGATGAATAAGGAATTAACAGAAATTAGTTAAATTGACTGCTAAAGATAATAAGCAACCTGCATGCATTAGCCTCTGCTCCTTCCTAGAACTCCCCCCTCCTATTATAGTAAAAGAATAAAAAAGGTATCAATGTACAAAGAAAACAAAAAAAGAAAACATCAAAAATATGGTTGGTTTTACACAGCAGAGAAAGCTGAACCCTAAGCCATCTGTGAGAAAAGCCATGAAATAACCTGATTTATACCTTGAAACTGCCAAATAGCTCAGGAATTGGCAGTACCAGGTACTTCTGGAAATGAAAGTGAAGATAGGGCTAAAAATAGAAGAACTGGCAGAAAGCCTGTTTAAGAAGCAGCATCTCAAATTCCTTTCACCAATTCTCCCTCCCCTATTCCCCAGTAGAAGACTAAAATCTTTTCTCTAGAAAGAATACAACAGATGAACTCCAGACTAGTGTACATCAGGTGATAAATAGGTGAATTAAGCAAAAATTTATATATTGAATGTTAAGATCCCTGCTTTAGTGGCCACCAAGCTGCCAGACAGGATTTTTTTTCTCCAGGCAGACGATGGGAAGCAGTTTCTCAGGGAAGATAAAAGCCCAAAAGATATTGTCATTGGGAGTTCTTCAGGGAAAAGGCTCTGCCAGATAATTGTAGAGTGAAATCCAGCTGACATGCTCCACTCATGTGTTCACAGATACCACTTAACATTTTTGACCCTGGTTTTTAAATATTAGCACATAGCCAAGGTCACCAGACATTTGAGCAAGACCTCTAGTATGAAAGACAGAGGCCAGAGCAACCTGATAAAAGCAACTTGAGACAGACTACTCAGAAGAAGACTTAAAAAAACCTATCATTAGTGTTCTCAGAGAAAATACTATAAAAGAGACAAGAAAATAAAAAGAGGTTTTAGAAATAAAAACCTGAATAGAAGGGCTGGCAGAAAAAGCTGAGGAAGACTCAAAGAACAAAAGGATGAAGATTTAAAAAAGAAAGAAAAAAAAACAGAAATAGTTCAGGAGGTTTAATATCTAAACAATAGGAGTTTCAGAAACAGAACAACAAAAATCAAAAATCAAAGAAATAACCTAAGAACATTTTCTTGAATTGAAGGACATGAATTTCCAGATTGAAGAGAACCCAACACAATGAATGAGTCACCAAACAAGATTCATCACTGTAACATTTCAGAATATTGGGGACAGAGAAAAGACAACAAAAGAGAAGATCCCAAAAGTTTCTAGAAATAGGTTTCATAGAAAGATTAAAGAATCAGAATGATACCAAGATTTTGACAAGAACACTGAAAACTAACAGACAAAGAGATTACCTGCATAGTTCTGGGGGAAGATGTTTGCCAGATCATAATCCATATCCAGCTAAATTATCAATCACGTTGGAAGAGTTGAATACAGAGATTTTTAGATATAGGAAGTCTCAAAAATTTACCTTCCATAAAACCTTCCTCACAGAGCCATTGGAGTATATGCTCCACCAAAACAAGGGTGTAAATTCATATTTGATTCTACCTGTCCTAAGTCTTGGCAGGTAAATGAGATTTTTCCGTGGATGCTAATCTGCATGCATGTTTTTAATAAGTAATTCCAACCCAAATTCAAAACCTTAAAATCCAAAATTCACTGTGCTTATGTCATTTCCCAAGTTGTTTTTGTTGGGTTTTATTTTTTTTGATTTTTTAAAAAAAATTTATTTGGCAACTGGCTGGTAAGGGGATCTGAATGCTCGACTTTGGTGTTATCAGCACCATGCTCTAACCAAGTGAGCTAACCAGTTATCCCCCAAGTATTTTTTAATCATGACTCCATGATCCAGGTTTCAGATAGGAATCCGTGGTTTTTCCCCACTTGCTCTTAGAAAAAAGGATAGGATGTTACCATTGATATAGGCACACTGGTTTTCCCTCAAGATTCTTTCAGACTTCTTGATCATCTCATTGGATTTTTTGTCAGGCCAGGCAAATAATGTCTCCTTTAGATTTCCCTGCAGCATCTTCAGAAAGCAGTGGGAGTCGGTGTGATCATGAATACTGCTATATATACACAAAATGACAACTGAACTCAGTAGATGGTCTAGCACGCAGAGCTGATACCTACACACAGTGAATAGGACATCACCCAGGCCAAAAATCCATTTCAGCTGGATTTTAAAAATATCATCAATTTACAATTCAACATTGTTCAGGGCAAAGTAGTAAAATGTCATCCATATCAATGCATATAAGGGGTACAGTTTTGATGCATACCCTTATTAAAGAACAGTTTTTTTTTTAAACCTCATCATAATACTACATTTATAACAAAAATACAAAACCACCAAGCTTTTATCTTCCCCAAAATAACTCACTGAGGCTGGACTAGGGTTTGATTATGAAAGTACATTACAGAAACTTTAGAAAAGACAATCATTTATAACAATTGCACCACGCTGAAAAGATCACTTAACATTCAGTATTTTTCTCCACAGGCTTTTTCTCTTTTTCTTTCCTTTGAGGAGGAAAAAGGCATATGTATGTGTGTTACCATCCTAAAATTATACTGTAAAGTACATATATATATATATAATGTAAACATTGTGCAGATTTAAAATATCCTACCTGTGATTACTTCTCAATATTGGTGGGAGAAAGAAAGTAAACTGGATGCAAGGAAAGAAAGGATATATTCACGTAATCTTACAGTAAATAGTATTTAAGTATATGAAGTAGTGGTAGCTGTAGGATGGATTAAAACATACGAACCTACATATGATTTTGGTATTTATTTCATATGTTGAATTCTACTATCTTATATATGTACCATAAGAACTTGTTTCCTAAATCCACAGAGCCTAGTCCTACTCTTGACATATAATCTGCTTTAAAAAAATATTGAGAGAATGAATGAAAACAACTCCATTTCATGAGTAAATAAATGTACTCTATATACCTAACTTTCTAAAACCTTGTAAATTTATGTTTCCTTTCTCCCATCAAAAATGGGTTTGATTATTGTTTTTACCATTCTCAAAAGACTGAGAAGGACTTGTTTAAAAAGATAATGCTCAGTTGGTAAGACTAGCAAGTGTACAAACTAAAGACAAACTAAGGAAATAAGTTTCAAAGAATCAGTATTAGTTTAAGTTGCCTCTAGGTAAAGAAACTAAATAATTAGTGTGAAGTAGAAAGAAATTTTCTGAATCTTTTGTTTTAATGGCTTGATTTTTTTTATTATAACTTGAAAATCTGTCTTTGATAATTGAGCTGCAACTTTTATATTGTTTATAATTATATATATATGACCTATTTCTGCTATGTTCATTTTTATTTTCCATTTACCATTTTTTTGTTGCTTCTTTTTTCCCTCTTTTCCTTTTTTTTTTTTTTTATTAAGAATATTTATGAGATACAAAGCTAATTGTCACCCCTCCTGCGCATGATGTGAAGGCCAGATTCATACTGGGAGCATACTCCTTAATTTTCTGAATTTCTGAAATGCTTTTCACTTTGCTCTTTGGTCTCCCAATTTGTTTACACACCTCAAACACCACAAATGTCAACTTTAAGCATAAGTCCATATAAAGTTTAACTCCAAAGAAGACAGAGGATTAAGGGTGTATACATGAACCCCTTTTGATTTACAGGGTGTATACATGAACCCCCTATGCTAATTCCAATGAGAATTTTTGTTGGGATTAGGGGACACTGTGAACAAATAATTATAAAATGAGGTTTGTCATTACTTGCAAGAAATGTGGCTAGCCTGTCACCATCCTTCTCATATGCTAGAATAGATGTTCTAATAAATATCTGTGAATGAATAGTCATATTACCTGCCATGTCCTTCACCCCAACACAGAATCATCAGATTAAATTTTCCATTTCCTAGATCCACAAGATTTCGGGTATACCTAAAGAAAGAATGTATTCAGAAGTTTGAATTTGGTTATTTAAACAAGTGCTAGTAAAAATAAGTGTGGCATAAAGCACCATCATTCACAAATGTTAGTGTTTCTACCTCTAAGCAACTTTAAATGTGGCTTTCTAATAAAAAACCCAGCACAAATGAAAAATATTTTTTCACTGTTCATTTTGGATATTTCTGTATTTTGAATTATGGGGTAGCTGCTCAGTTTTATTAACAGCATGGGAAAGATAAGGAAAAAGAGCAACTTTCATGTTTCTCCAAGTGATAGTCTCAAACTGACAAAGTGAGTTTCTCAACAGAAGGTATTTGCCAAGTGCCGTAGTGCTTTAGGCAAGAATGTTGCTATTGTTTGGAGTTTTGTTTTTCCTCTCTGTAGCTAAATCTGGACTTGAGAAACAAGCTTTCATTAAATATCTATTCTAGAATTTTTCTTAGTTTTACTAAAGACCAGACACAAATCATATTTGAAAGCATTAACAATGAAAAGTCCTCCACAAATAGGGAGGGTGTTGACCTACGTACCAGAACAAAGGAAACTACATTGGGGAAGAAAAGAGCACTCTAAACCTTTTACAATTAGGAGAAACGAGTAATTGGCAAAAAAGAAAAAAAAAAAAAAAATCCAAACCAAAAAACCCCCACAACCATATCACCAGAAAAAATTTTTAAAAATCAACTTTCGGGCCGGCCCGGTGGCACACTGGATAGTGCGCCGCTTGGGAAGCGCGGCGGCGCTCCCGTCCGAGGGTTCGGATCCCACATACAGACCGGCTCCCGCTCACTGGCTGAGCGAGGTGCGGGAGCAATGCCGAGGCTTGCGATCCCGTTGCCGGTCCCCGGTCCGGTGCGGGGGCAACACTGAGGGTTGCGATCCGTTGCCGGACACGGAAAAAA